GCTCACACGAGGCGGCGGCAGAGACAGCCGCCCGCCACGCCGCCCACGAGTCGGCACACGAGACGAGGCTCGAGTAGACGAAGAGCGAGACGAGGCTCACTCGAGGCGGCGGCAGAGACAGCCGCCCGCCACGCCACGCCGCCCACGAGGCGGCACACGAGACGAGGCTCGAGTAGACGAAGAGCGAGACGAGCCTCACTCGAGGCGGCGGCAGAGACGGCCGCCCGCCACGCCACGCCGCCCACGAGGCGGCACACGAGACGAGGCTCGAGTAGACGAAGAGCGAGACGAGGCTCACACGAGGCGGCGGCAGAGACGGCCGCCCGCCCCGCCACGCCGCCCACGAGGCGGCACACGAGACGAGGCTCGAGTAGACGAAGAGCGAGATGAGGCTCCCACGAGGCGGCAGCAGAGACAGCCGCCCGCCACGCCGCCCACGAGGCGGCACACGAGACGAGGCTCGAGTAGACGAAGAGCGAGATGAGGCTCACACGAGGCGGCAGCAGAGACAGCCGCCCGCCACGCCGCCCACGAGGCGGCACACGAGACGAGGCTCGAGTAGACGAAGAGCGAGACGAGGCTCACACGAGGCGGCGGCAGAGACAGCCGCCCGCCACGCCACGCCGCCCAAGAGGCGGCACACGAGACGAGGCTCGAGTAGACGAAGAGCGAGACGAGGCTCACTCGAGGCGGCGGCAGAGACAGCCGCCCGCCACGCCACGCCGCCCACGAGGCGGCACACGAGACGAGGCTCGAGTAGACGAAGAGCGAGATGAGGCTCACTCGAGGCGGCAGCAAAGACAGCCGCCCGCCACGCCACGCCGCCCAAGAGGCGGCACACGAGACGAGGCTCGAGTAGACGAGGAGCGAGATGAGGCTCACACGAGGCGGCAGCAACGACAGCCGCCCGCCACGCCGCCCACGAGGCGGCACACGAGACGAGGCTCGAGTAGACGAAGAGCGAGACGAGGCTCACTCGAGGCGGCAGCAAAGACAGCCGCCCGCCACGCCACGCCGCCCAAGAGGCGGCACACGAGACGAGGCTCGAGTAGACGAAGAGCGAGATGAGGCTCACACGAGGCGGCAGCAACGACAGCCGCCCGCCACGCCGCCCACGAGGCGGCACACGAGACGAGGCTCGAGTAGACGAAGAGCGAGACGAGCCTCACTCGAGGCGGCAGCAGAGACAGCCGCCCGCCACGCCGCCCACGAGGCGGCACACGAGACGAGGCTCGAGTAGACGAAGAGCGAGACGAGGCTCACTCGAGGCGGCGGCAGAGACGGCCGCCCGCCCCGCCACGCTGCCCAAGAGGCGGCACACGAGACGAGGCTCGAGTAGACGAAGAGCGAGATGAGGCTCCCACGAGGCGGCAGCAGAGACAGCCGCCCGCCACGCCGCCCACGAGGCGGCACACGAGACGAGGCTCGAGTAGACGAAGAGCGAGATGAGGCTCACACGAGGCGGCAGCAGAGACAGCCGCCCGCCACGCCGCCCACGAGGCGGCACACGAGACGAGGCTCGAGTAGACGAGGAGCGAGACGAGGCTCACACGAGGCGGCAGCAAAGACAGCCGCCCGCCACGCCGCCCCACGAGGCGGCACACGAGACGAGGCTCGAGTAGACGAAGAGCGAGACGAGGCTCACTCGAGGCGGCGGCAGAGACAGCCGCCCGCCACGCCACGCCGCCCACGAGGCGGCACACGAGACGAGGCTCGAGTAGACGAAGAGCGAGACGAGCCTCACTCGAGGCGGCGGCAGAGACGGCCGCCCGCCACGCCACGCCGCCCAAGAGGCGGCACACGAGACGAGGCTCGAGTAGACGAAGAGCGAGACGAGCCTCACTCGAGGCGGCGGCAGAGACGGCCGCCCGCCACGCCACGCCGCCCACGAGGCGGCACACGAGACGAGGCTCGAGTAGACGAAGAGCGAGAGCGGCGGCAGAGACGGCCGCCTGCCCCGCCACGCCGCCCACGAGGCGGCACACGAGACGAGGCTCGAGTAGACGAAGAGCGAGACGAGGCTCACTCGAGGCGGCGGCAGAGACGGCCGCCCGCCACGCCACGCCGCCCAAGAGGCGGCACACGAGACGAGGCTCGAGTAGACGAAGAGCGAGATGAGGCTCACACGAGGCGGCAGCAGAGACAGCCGCCCGCCACGCCGCCCACGAGGCGGCACACGAGACGAGGCTCGAGTAGACGAAGAGCGAGACGAGGCTCACACGAGGCGGCGGCAGAGACAGCCGCCCGCCACGCCACGCCGCCCAAGAGGCGGCACACGAGACGAGGCTCGAGTAGACGAAGAGCGAGACGAGGCTCACTCGAGGCGGCGGCAGAGACAGCCGCCCGCCACGCCACGCCGCCCACGAGGCGGCACACGAGACGAGGCTCGAGTAGACGAAGAGCGAGATGAGGCTCACTCGAGGCGGCAGCAAAGACAGCCGCCCGCCACGCCACGCCGCCCAAGAGGCGGCACACGAGACGAGGCTCGAGTAGACGAGGAGCGAGATGAGGCTCACACGAGGCGGCAGCAACGACAGCCGCCCGCCACGCCGCCCACGAGGCGGCACACGAGACGAGGCTCGAGTAGACGAAGAGCGAGACGAGGCTCACTCGAGGCGGCAGCAAAGACAGCCGCCCGCCACGCCACGCCGCCCAAGAGGCGGCACACGAGACGAGGCTCGAGTAGACGAAGAGCGAGATGAGGCTCACACGAGGCGGCAGCAACGACAGCCGCCCGCCACGCCGCCCACGAGGCGGCACACGAGACGAGGCTCGAGTAGACGAAGAGCGAGACGAGCCTCACTCGAGGCGGCAGCAGAGACAGCCGCCCGCCACGCCGCCCACGAGGCGGCACACGAGACGAGGCTCGAGTAGACGAAGAGCGAGACGAGGCTCACTCGAGGCGGCGGCAGAGACGGCCGCCCGCCCCGCCACGCTGCCCAAGAGGCGGCACACGAGACGAGGCTCGAGTAGACGAAGAGCGAGATGAGGCTCCCACGAGGCGGCAGCAGAGACAGCCGCCCGCCACGCCGCCCACGAGGCGGCACACGAGACGAGGCTCGAGTAGACGAAGAGCGAGACGAGGCTCACACGAGGCGGCGGCAGAGACAGCCGCCCGCCACGCCGCCCACGAGGCGC